TAACAAAGAAACAGAATTTCCGGAGGAGGAGGCCCAGAAATCAGGATTTTTAAAAAGATTCCCAGGTGATTCTAATGTGCAGCCAAGGTTGTGAACCACTAAATTAGCCTATGATACTCTATGCAAGACCCAGACTCCCAATTCATGAAACAGATCCTGGCCAGAGGGAAGCCCAGGCAGACATAGACACTGCTACATAATGTGCTAACATCTGTGGAAGAATGAGAGAAACACAGAAAATAGGGTGAATAACTGTCTGAAATCGTCACAAAAGGAATGCTCTAAAAAGAAGCAGGTGTGTTGGATTTTAGAGTGTGACTAGGACTTTCTGGTGGATGGTGCATGTGTAGGATAGAAACGGAAAGGAAGACGGCAAGTTTGTTTGGTGGCATGCTATTTTTCTGACACATACTGTCTTCCAGGTAACAGTAAATGGTCGCCAATGTTACACTTTTCCCCATCGACTTGACCCAGCATCTGTGAAGATGATCCGGGTGTGGAGAGACGTCTCCCTGACCTCAGTGACTGTCATTTAGAGAAGGATGTGACCAGACTCCCCGTTGTCAAGGAGGTCCCTCCACCTAAGTGACTCTGTGGTTCCCAGAGCTAACAACATGGGTTCTCACCCTTCCCCCACACTCGGTCATTAAAACTTCTGAAAACATAACAAGATTTGCTTCTTGCTTTAGAGGGAAACGAGAGAGGGGAAAAAAGAGTATGTGGTTATCAGCAAGAGGGGTGTGAGAATATTGTGGGAGAAATCATTGTATCAAAGTGGATAAACATTTCTCTGATACAAGGAGTGAGTATCAGGCTCATGAAATATCTGAAGAGACTTTGGAACCATATTCTTATGATGTAGTGCTTAGGATATGTTAGAAACTCTGGAGCAAAATCCTTCCCCAATTTCACATAGCTAAACTAAGAATTTAGGCTTCTCTCTAGTGCTATAATTGGTGATTTGATGAAGAAACTTTGTATTTTGAGGAAAATCCGGTGAAGAAAAGTCTTAATTCTTCCTTTATGCTAAGAATTTTTAATTTATATTGACACTGTGCCTGGTTTTGTGTAAGATACAGTGGAAAATAAAGAAAACGACAAGGCCAGCACTTACAATTTCTTTTAACCATCACCTGAGGATATATTTTTATTGATTTTGACAGAGAGAGAGAGAGAGAGAGAGAGAGAGAGAGAGAGATCAATGAGAGAAACATCAATTGGTTGCCTCCCATATGTGCCCTGACTGGGAGCTGAGCCTGCAACCTTTTGGTGTACAGGATGATGTTCCAATCAACTGAGCCCCCCAGCCAGGGTGCATTTAAAAAATTGTAATCCAAGGACGATTTGAAGAACCAAAAAATTTGCCCCAAAGATTTTTCTATTATTCAAACAATTTCAAGATTTTTCCAATTTATGTGGGCAGAAGCCTGGGGCATGTTTCGTAATGAATTGTCACCATTTTAGACCAGGGAGGATAAAATTTGTTATTAAAACAGGAACAATATATACACCCGGATGCAGTGACCAGACTCTGGTTTTGATGTTGTCTCACTTAATCATTACAGAATAACAAACCTCCCCCAAATATATTGGTTTACAACAATAATTTATTATTATCTCCGTTTTGCAGTGTTATTGCACTTATATGGGTAGCATATTATGTGGCCTTAATCAAATTGCGGTGGGAAGGGAAGTTTTCTGATGGATGCTTTCCTCATGTCTGATACTTCACTTGGGCTGGCTGACATAGATGGGGGCTGGCTGTTTATTTCTCTTCACATGACCTTCATGGTTGTCTTAGACCTCTTCAAATCACAGAGATCTCAGGGGGTTGGGACTGGCTTCTGCCACAGAGAACCCTTGAAAAGGCTCAAGCAGAAGATGCAAGGTGTAATGGGACCTAACTCTAGAAGTCATGCAGTGTCACTCCCATAACATCCTATTGTTAAAAAGTGAGTCAGAGAGACAGCCATAATCATGTGGAGAAGACTGCACCAGGGCATGGGTATGTTGCCTTGTGATCCATGACCAGTTATCCTAGACTAGTACTGTTCCACCATCATGCTCCAGAGACACTAACACTTCCCACATACTCCGAACTCTGATCACTCTCCAAGGAATTCCAAGTGTAATACAGTAACAGCAACAAGCTCAGGACAGAAGTTCAGGATTTCACCATTTAAACCAGGACCTGGGGCTCACGAAGTGAACTGAGTATAGCTTCTGGGGTGCAGTTCTTTTCAATGTGTGCACTAATGGGGCAAAATACATCATACACACCAAACCTACATGCTGAAACAGACACAGCATGAATGCAATACACATTTTCAGAGGCAGCAATAGGGGATGTATAGCAGCCACAGCTTCATATCACATATGACAACCAGTCAGGCTCATATCTACCCTTCTCTCTAGGACTGTTTTCTCTGTAGCGATTGAGTCCACCCTCCATTCTCAGCTTCTTTGAGTTCTTGCAAAGATGTCAGAACGACTACTCCAGGGGCATCAGCTTCTTAGCAAGTCCAGAGAACCACTTAACAGACCCAATACTCAGAAGACACTATTCCTAAAAACATACCAAGGCAGATATAAGAAAGTGGGGAGGAGGGGGTCATTGAGAGGGAAAGGGGGACATCTGTAATACTTTCAACAACAAAAATAAAACATAGCCTGGTACATCAAAACAAAGGAAAGTCTTCTGGAAATAGCCTCTTTGTCCACAAGGACTACCTCCACCTTCCAATCCCCCATTTATCACTTACCCACTCTGTGCCCCTCTGTCATTCCCTCCACACTCCAAGTTTACACTGCCTGAGTCCCACCCCTGTTCCTTCCCTTGGACCCCTTACCTTATCCTTCTTTCCACAAATGACCCCGATCCTCCCCAAACCGTCTATATAATTATGCCCTTTACCTTCTAATCCATATTCACCCTGGAATTAGAATCAATCCTGTGGTTCTGGTGTTTATTATCATTTTAATTGTTTAGAAACCTTTGCTTGGTCACATAGCATTAGACCACGCTCACTTCAGCCTGTGTGTGTGAGGACATCGGGCCCCAGCCGGTACAGCCAGATCAGGTGCTCCTCATCCTCAGTACAGGCAGATGGAGCAGACAGGAACGTTCTCAGCTTGGTGGCCCATGGCCCCCTGGGGTCTGGGTCTGTGAACCCAGGGAGGGTGGTGACTGTAAATTGGGGAAAGTCCTGGCCTTCAGCTTCCACCTCTCACAGAGCCAGTGAGGAACTGCGGTCACTCAGGGCTGAGTGCCATGAGGATTCAGGGGAAATGGGTGCAGCGCCCCCTCAACAAGCATCCCTCATCCTGAGAGCTGTTCAGACGGACTCTCCTGTTGGTCTCCATCAAAGCACAACAAGATGGAACTTTCCTTCAACCTGGCCTCCATTCGGAGTTCTGTGGTCCGTTGTTCCCGGTTGGCTTCAAAGTCAATCCAGCGGGACTAGGGATTGTCTACAGGGCGGGGCTCCCATCTCTGCCTGGATGCCCGGGCCCTGTGTGCTCACGTGCGTGTCGTTTAGCAGGAAGCCAGAGGTGAGACCCTGGGGTGAATGAATTACAGGTGCAGGTGTAGGGACCCCCCAGGAGGGTAGAGGCTCTGTGTCTCTCCAGGATGCTCCTCCCAGATGAAGTCCTGCTCACAGCTCAGTGCTGTGTCTGGGGGAACAGAGGCAAAATGTGCCCCTGGTCCAGGGACTCCACATCCTTTCAGGACAAAGTGCTGCTGCAGGTGGTTGGCCTGCGGCGGGCAGGGAATTGCCCGAAACCACAGGGTGAATGCGCGAGGGTGTGGAAGTGGGCACTTTCCCACCTGAATGACCTTGTTCTGATCTGGTGGTGAGTGGGGAGGGCGCCCTCGCCTGTGATGCGCACGCGCGGTTCCCAGCAGCTGGCGGCAGGTGGCGCTCAGGCTTCCTCTCCAGAAAAGCCCCAGGTTCCAGTGACTCCTCCACCTGCAGAAGATTCTGGGACCCTAAGGGCCTCTTTCCAGGGTCCTGGGCTTTATTTTCCTGCCCAGAGACCAACCCTCCATCCACGCTGGGCGGTTCCAGACCCTCCAGGCTCTGGGGCATCTTTTCCTCACTTGGGATCTCTTGGGATAAGTGGTGGACACCAATGTCCTCCCTCAACCCGGTCCCTCCTTAGGAAGCTGGGCTTCTGTGACCCCGGGTCCGGCCCCGTGCGCTGTAGTTCGGAGAGACCAGGACCTCGGGAAGGGCTTCCACGTCTGCTGGGCTGAACGCGGACAGTGGAAACGTCCTCAAAGAGGCGACATGAAAGTGGGTGACAGGGCCGTCGTGGGTCGAGGGGCTCACGGATTTGCTGATGCAGAGGGCGGGCATGGCGCAGATCCTTGGGTCAGGCGAGTTTGAGTAGCATTCAGGGCTCATCAGACTGGGGATTTGGTGTTTGATTTTCAAATCAGATTATATGGACACTTCTAAGAGTGCACACAGAAAATACGTGCAAATAGAGACCTCAAAAATGTCCCACCACATTTCAATGGGGAAAACATTGCATTTGGCTTCCAATTATATGCTTCATGTGTGTACTTTCACACACGAGAATGTTTTTCAGTGAAAATGTTTTAAAGATGTTTTCAAATTTTTTCCCAAAATATATGGCAAAAGCGTTTAACCATAGAAAGGTGAAGCCACCCACTAAATGGAAACTCGGTGAGCAAAGTCATGGGCTCTGTAGGCTAGGGTTTTCTCCAGCTCTCATTTGATTTTCCTTTTGCACATCTATGATGGGAAACACAAATATTTGGTGTAAGGATCTGTTTATTTTTCTTCTTCTTAATCATAGGTAATTAACGTAAGTTAAGTTTCATTTTTAATCTTTGAATGTATCCATTCTTTCTTTTTTTTTTTTTTTTACGAAAAATGTTTTAATTGATTTCAGAGAGAGGAAATGAGAGGGAGAGAAAGCTACAAACCTCAAAGGTGAGAGAGAATCATTGATCAGCTGCCTGGAGGACAACCACTACTGGGGATTGAGCCTGCACCCTGGGCATGTGACCGAATTGACCCGGTGACGTATTAGTTCATGGTTGGACCCTCAACCACTGAGACAAAACGGCCAGGGTCTGTGTAAATTTCTAAAACCAAATACCTACGTCCTCGCCTTACAGTGTTTGACATTTTACAATAGACTGTCAAGTCAAGAGAGCAATTGTCTAATGAGCGGAGTCAGCCTGACAAAGCAGGAATAACCTGGGGTAGGGAGGTGTGAAACTCCGCCCCTCCTCTCCCATAATCCACCTCAGCTCCTCCCAGGCGGTGCCCAGTGGGATTTAAACCCAGGCCTGCCTCTCTGGGCTCACATCCTCTCAGAGCACAGCGTTGTGTGGACCGCCTCGTTTGAGCCGGGGCTGCAGGCCAATTTTGAGGACAGAGGACAGTGCATTTGGGAAGGGCACCTCTGTCTGCCTATCTGCTTTGTTGACTTCCTCCTTTTTTTGGAGGACACACACACACACACACACACACACACATGCACACTGCTCCCTCCATTGCTGTAGTCAGAAGAGGGGGCAGAGAGTCCCGGGAGCAGCCGGATTCTCAACCAGAGGGCTCCTGGGAGAGTGGGT